AGGACAGGGTTAGACTTCTTTCTTTGCAGCTCTGTGTTGCACACATTTGAGCAGTTAGGAACTCCTCATGCGGGCAGGATAAATTCCAAAGTGGAGTTTTAAGAACCGTTCATATATCAGAGCAGTATCACTGGGCTCCCAGAACAATGCTAATTTGAGTGTAACTTTTTTCATGCCTTTGATTGCCCAGCCAAAATCAGTACTGAGGAAAGCAGAGCATGTATATGCCAGTTACACAGTCTCTTGGCCTCTTTGTACCTTAGTTCCCTCATTTGAAAAAGCTGGATGGATGGATGGATTTTAAGACATACTTTTTAGAGTTTTTAGTGGGCTTACCCCCAGCTAACCAATAAGTGTGTAATGTTTCCGTGTATAAATAGGTTTTACATGTGTTCAACTTCTATTTCACTTACACGTTATGTAAAAACTGCATTCCATGCCAGGCCTGAAAGGTTCCAAAGTTCAGTTCTGTGATTAAATTACAACCGAGATTTCTACCAAAAAAAGAAGGAAAAAAGATACAAGCCAATAAAGAAGAAGAAATACATCCTTAGCACACATCATTTGGCAGTGATTCTAATTTATATATGATAAAATATAACCTTGATACTTTCTCCATACACTAAAGAAATCTCATCGATATACAATATACAAGACAAGATACTGATTTATGGTTTACATGTATGTATTTACACATATGGTACATTAGATCTGAAATAGTGAATGCTCAGGAAATAGTTATGCTGAGTGATCTTTATTTCTCTAAAACAGGATTTGACAACCCCAATGCTGTTGATATTTGGGGCTGGAGGCTCTTTGTTGTAGAGATTAGTCTTACACATTGCAGGTTTTTTCACTGTATCTCGCCTCTGCCTCCTAGATGCCAGTAGCACACTCATCGCTGTGACAACCAAACGTGCTTCCAGACACTGCCAAATGTCACCTGGGTGCCAAGTCACAATAGAAGAGAACCACTGCTCCATAGTTATTCACTCTGATCTGGATAATAATTCTTACACTGATCTTTGCTAGAAATGAAAGGATTTCTTAAATAATTTTAGTAAATTTCTACTAGTAAATTTTTAATCATTTTAAATGAATAGCAAGAGTTTTAGAATTGTTTCAAACAAATTTCTAATATAACAAAGTGAAATTTGTAACTTACAAATACTGCAAAAAAGGTAGTGACTCAAATGTACGTCTTTCAATATATTGTATTTTGTTGCAGGATAAATCTCTAGGGGGAAGAAAGAGAAGGAAAATGTTGCCTTGATTAGCTATTAGATCTAATTAGCAGGAAAAATAGAGTTTAGGATTGATAATATTGAGTACATAGTTTGATTTATACTCTGAATCTTTAGAGTTGTATTTGAACTTTCCAGAGTCCCTAGCCCAAACTGTACCTCTCCTAACAGTCTCACCTTCTTGATCTTCATAAAATTAACAACCATAGATGTTGATAGGTTTTGGAGGTAATCTTCCCTGAGAGCAGAAATATTGACTAGATGACCTTTCGTAGTCTCATCAAATTCTAGATTACAAGTTCAATGGTTTTACCTCTATATATAATTTCTAATCCCACATTTATATACTTTCCCAGTTTAGTTTTCTTTTCCTAAGCCATTCAATACCAAATAAAATAAAATATTTCATTTCAGGGACCAGCAGTTAGCGTAATGGCTATGTTGCTAGACTCCAATGTAGTCGACCACGGTTCGAGTCCCGGACCCACTGGCTTAAACTCACGCTGGGCACATGTGCATACGTGCCCAAGATCCTGAGAGGAGAATGAAGGAGAAGGGATTGTGGCGTGGCCATCCCCCCTGGGGGGTGATTTCTGGCTTTCTGTCTCTCTGTTTCTCTCTGTCTTTCTGGCAAGCACACACACCCTACAGCAAAAACCTCTCAAAAAAAAAAAAATGTCCTTTCAGACATTGAAATTTGAAAGGAAATTACTCCTCTAATTAATACATAACTTTGAACTAATTCAGAATAATTCTATCATATTAATAGAACTTTATCTTTGGTTTAATATTGCCTTAATAATATATGAAAGCAATTTCTCCAGTTGTATAGTGATGGGGCAACAACAGAACCGGATTTTTTTTGGAAGACATCCAATGTGATTCTAATATGCATAGATTTCAGCTTGCTATTCACGTTTCACCTGGACTGGTATAACTGTCCACTAACAGGTGTCTCCATCTCTCCCTTTTTAATCCCTCTGCACACAGTCACCAGATAAACTCTTCAGAAGTAGTCATCAAGGACTAGCATCACATGGGAACTTACTGAAGAAATAGTGTCTTGGCCATCCTCCAGACCAACTGAATCAGTAACTATTGGGGTGAGGTCCAGAACTGAGTTCTAGAGAGCCCTCCAAGTGATCAAAGACAAATGATGAAGGCTCATTTGTCTTCGAGCCCTATAGAGGTGACATGGCTCCTCATTATGGCCCCTTTGCTTGGCTTCACTTCAGTCTCCTACTTTCCTTCCATGTACTCTACGGGTACTCATGACATTTCTCAAATATTTCCTGTGTTTTGCCTTTTTTTTCGTAGTCTGGAACCCTATACAAACTTTCAGAATTATAGAATTTTACTACCGGAAGAAATTCTAGAGATTACCTCTTTTAAACCCTTTATTCATTTCTATAGATAACTAACAACTCATAAATAAATTATTAACTAACTTACAAATATTGGAGGGATAATAGGCCTTCAAATGAATCCTTATGCAGTTCGGTCAACTGGTTTTCACTGAGAATTCTAGAAAATGAAAAGTAAGTTATTTCTGAATCAATATACAATCTGAATCCAAGTACTTACCATGTAATACTATCTCCTATATAGAGAGGAAACATAATAGTGTCGGTGCCATTTATATACCCTAATTCTTACATAATTTAAAGAAGGCAATGTCTGCTCTTTTATTTATTTATTTAATTTTTAATTTTCCAGAGGACACATGCACTGACAAAAGAGAGAGACGAGGAAGGAGAGAAGAAAAGTGAGGAGGCATCCTCCAGGGGCGCGGTCACCGCAATCCCAGAGCAACTGGTGTTAGTTAGCAAGGGAGCAGGGTCTGGAACCCGGGAGGAGGAAGGGCATTCGCTTCCTTAGGAGTTACCTCCCACTCCCTCCTATTCTCAAGGGAATCCACCTGGAACACAAATCCCAGCATCACATTTCTCCTCCTGCTAGGACTGAAAAGCAGAAGCAGCAGAATTTCAACTACAGGGATGAATTACAGCCTGGAAAGACCTAGCAACAACAACAACAGGAGAAAGCTGACTCCACTGAGGACATAAAACATAAAGAGCTTAAAGCCTGCAAATCAGAATGAGCAGGGAAATCACAAGACGACTCTAGAAGAGCAGAATCAATACCATCAGACAGATGTAAGCAGATGGTGCACCCATGAAAAAGACTTAACCAAAGAATTTACAAATGGAAAATGTTATCATTAATAATACATTTTTTAGAGAGATTTTTGCTATAGGGTGCATGTGCTCCCTGGAGAGACAGAGAAGAGAGACAGAAAGCAAGAAATCACCCCTCCCCCCCAGGAGGGATGGCCACACCACAATCCCTTCCCTTCCACTCTTCTCTCAGGATTTGGGGCATGCACACACACCCCCGCCCGGAGTTTCAAGCTGCGGGTCCCGAGACTCAAACCATGGTTGTCCGTGTGTGAGTCCAGCAATGTAACCATTATGCCACTGGTTGGCATAATTTTTTTTAAAACTCGGAATATGAGCAATCAAAACTACAGTACAGGGAACCAGCAGTTAGCGTAATGGCTATGTCGCTGGACTCCCACGTAGTCGACCGCGGTTCGCTTCTCGGACCCGGTGGCTTAAATCTCACGCCAGGCGCGTGTGCGTGCGTGCCCAAGATCCCAAGAGGAGAATGGAGGAGAAGGGATTGCGGCGTGACCATCCCCCCTCGGGGGTGATTTCTCGCTTTCTGTCTCTATGTCTCTCTCTGTCTGGTGAGCGCACGTGCCCTATAGCGAAAACCTCAAAAAAAAAAAAAAAAAACTACAGTACAGAAATTAACTAGAAAACAAAAAGATCCAGAAAGATCCAGACAGTGATTTCTCCAGATGCAGAATGAAGGGAACAGAAATGATCCTCAGACAAGCCTGACACCTATACCTGCCTAAGGAGGAGGATGACCTTTGCTTAATCTAGTCTCAGCTAGTCTCACAGTAAAGACTAGAGACATGCAAGGGAGAAGACATTGCACTCATTTTCTGAACCCGATGAGCAAGCAGGCATGCAATTGACTCTATAACAGTGTGGTGAGGGAGTGGTGGAGAACCAGCACAGAAGAAATCCTCTAAGTTTCTTTTGCCTGGGGAAATTCCCTTCCTTACAGGTAGTATCAATGGCAACATATCCTTTGGGAGCCTTGGGGATCTGCAAGAACGCTGTGATTGATGCCTTATAGAACTAGTTCCATCAAATTGTGTATCAACATTCTGCTTCCCCTCGTTGTGTCTGTTGGCCTCATATTTGTATTAATCCTCTCCCCATCTCATGGCTTGTGATAATGCTGCTACCTGGAATCAAGGACAGTTCTCAGTTATAATGTGGTTCATTATCACAGAATATAGTTACATACAGTTTATTTTATTATACATATATGCAGTATTTTGTGTTTCTTTTTGGTTTTTGTTTTCTGTTTTTGTTTTCTTTTGTTTTATATTTAGTTTTACTGTAGGGCATGTGTACTTCCTGGAGAGAGAGAGAGAAAGTGAGAAATCATCCCTCACGGGACATGGCCATGCTACAATCCTTTCTCCTCCATTCACCTCTGGGGACTTGGGACGCACATGCACACATGCATGGTGCATTTTTCAAGCGACTTGTGAGATCAAACTGCCTTAATTACTATGGCACCAGCTGGCGATAGACAGATTGACAAATTTAAATTTTTTATATATATATATATATGTGTATATATATATATATATATATATATCTTTACTTTTTTTTTAATGCCAGAGGGTGCATACACATGCACAAGCCCAGGGCAATAAACACCTCCCCAACAGGCTCTGGTCCTGCTGTACTCCTTTTTTCTCCAATTCTCTGCCTTCAAGATCCTGGGCATATACACTTGCACCCAGAATGAAGCCTAAGTATGGACCTAGAACTCTAATCACAGCTGGCCATGAGGGATCCAGCTTACTCTGCAAACTGCCTAATTGCTGTGCTATGGGGTCGGCCTGGTTAGATACATTTTAAAAGAGTATCACTAAAGTAATTACATAAAAACCTTAAATTCCCCGCAAAGAACTCCTGGAGCTCTGAGAATGCACTAGAAACCCTGACTTGAGTTTGAAATTGGAAGACACAACAGTGATGGTCAGAACATGTGTGGAAGGGGAAGTAGGTGACGCTATGACTGATTGGTCATCTCCCCTCAGGTACCTAATAGCTTCATATTCCCATGGAAAGGATCCAAAGAGGCAAAACAAATCATTAGATCCAACAATCTTTATATAACCCTCTTCATACTATAAAAAGTTGGACAAAATCCTACCTCTCTCAGTCACGTAACAAAACAATATGCTTATACTATATAAGATAAGCAAAGAAATCAGGAAATGATGCAAAAGGAAAATATTAAAACAAAAATGAAACTTATATACTAATTATTGCTTAAGAAATACAAACACTGACAGGATTCATTAAGAATACAGACAAGACGGGGGCTTAGTGACAGTGGTTTATGCCCAGTGCCTTCTCTGATGGGCTGATGCCACACTTGATTAAAGAGCTGGACTATCATACTAGGACAGGGGAGTCACCAATGACTATATATGTTTTTTAACTAATGGAGATTCTTTTTGTGAAACTGAATAACAGGACAGTAAAAAAAAAAATTAATAATAGTAAATTCAACATAGAAGGAAAGTTTAGACTGAGAAATGAGTCAGTCACCAAAAAATTACCTCAAAAAAGGAACTTCAGCTAGGCCATTGGAATGAAAAACATTAATCTTGTTGAACTCCAAATAATTGACTTTCATTGAAGGGACAATTTTAAAGTATAAGGAGTTAGTTAAACTCAACAAATTTGTTCTAATACCATGAAAATATCAAAACCAGGTCTGAATTAAAGTTTAAAAATATCCATATTTGGGGCCAGCAGGAGGTGCTGAATTCCCACATCAAGTCCCAGACCCAGTGGTTTGAACATCACGCTGGGCACTTGTGAATGGTGTTCAAGATCCCAAGAGGAGAAAGGAGGAGAATTTGGCATTGTGGTGTGGCCATCCCCTTGCAAGGTGATTTCTCACCTCTCTCCGTCTCTCTCCAGTAAGTGCATATGCCCTATGACAAAAAGATTTTTTAAAAAACTCCTGAGAAGACAATGGAGAAAGCTATGTGGCAGTGTGACCATTCCCGCAGGGGGTGATTTTTCTTTCTCTATCTCTAGCAAGTGCATGCACCCTATGGCAAAAACCTAAAAAGAAAAAAAGGAAGAAAAAAAGAAAGAAAGAAAGAGAGACAGAGAGAGAAAGTAAGAAAGGAAAGAAAGAAAGAAGAAAAAAGAAAAGAAAGAAAAAATTAAAAGAAAAGAAAGAAAAAGAAATATCCATGTTTAACCTTTTTTTCAATTGCCTGAGGGCATCCAGGGAGGGGTGGCAGGGGGAAGCATACCCTTCAGTGGGACACAGTCATGCCACAATCCCTTCTCCTGTGTTTTCTACATCCTGTTGGGATTTGGGGCATGTACACACATGCACCCAGTATGTTTTTCAAGCTGCTGAAGTCAAGATTCAAAATAGTTGGCCATGTGGGACCTGGCTCCCTTAACTATGAGGCTATAGGGTTGGTGCAACTTCTGATCAAGACAATCTTCTGAATTTTATAATACTCATTTTTTATTCTATATAGTAGACAAAACTATCCTTCTCCTTGCCTCTGTAACTTCTAGGAAATTGAGAGGGCTAGAGAATATTTTTAGACTGAATTATATATAATATAAACAATAGGACTTTCTGAAACTGATTTACTCTCCTTCCCCTGCTTTCTTGTTCTCAAAATCACTTATCGATACTGAAAATTACTTCAATTTACATATAAGCGTATTTGTATATTATACATGTGTAAGTCCTTGAGAACTGGGATATTTTGCCTGTTCGGTTCCTGGACCTATATTCTTGACACCTAGAATGCTCCTGGCACATAGCACATGCTTTGTAACTATTTGTTGAATGAAGGAATGAAGTGACAGATATAAATATTCAAATACATGTTTTTATTTCAAATAAATCATCCATTTATTATCACTCGTGAGGATAAGTACAGCTTTACAGGAAAAGAAATGTATCTCCTCTCAATCTGTGACTTTTTTAGAGGATTTTGCCTCAGGGCACATACACTTGCCAGAGAGAGATAGAGAGACAGTGTGAGGGAAAGTGAGAAACCACCCCCCAGAGGGGATGGCCATGCCTCAATCCCTTCTCCTCCAGTCTTCTCCTGGGATCTTGGACAAAAACACACACACCCAGCCACCCAGCATGAATTTAGGCCACCAAGTCTAACACTCAAACTGTGGTCAGCCATGTGGGAGTCCAGTGACATAACCACTACGCCATCGGCTGGCCCCCCATCTGTGACTTTTATAAGACAAACCTTTTAAAAATCTCTTACAAGCAATAGATCCTTTCTTCCCAAAAACTACACTTGTTTTGTTTAGTTTTGTTTTGTTATTGCTATAGGGTGTGTATGTTCATGGCAAGATTGCAGG